GAGAGATAATTTTTTATTTTAAAAAATAAAATTGATATTTTAGGTTAAAAATTCATATTATGGACCACAGCCAACTATAATTATTCCTTTGTTTATTGATCAATGTAATTCGATATTAAAAATGGAGAAAAAAAAAATTAAATTAAATTGAGGCAAATAAAGCAAGGTTAAAATTGAATGAAATGGTGACAAAAATTAATGAAAGATAACTAAATAATATGTAACAAAAATAATAATGTACTAGTATTTGTTAATTAATTATATTTACCTGGCTAGAGCAGAAGGATCCCAAGTAGAAGGAACCTCATTCCTGACTTGATCATCAAGAATAAGGGGATATCTATCTATATGAAGCGTGTGAAGTATGATAAAATATCCATCAAGACCCAGGTATTTCGTATTAGCTGCATCCACCGCCCACGACCCGCTTTCGAACCCGAACATCGAGTTGAACAGACCCGACGGAATCTTCCCCGGCAACGAGCTCCTCCTGTTGAAAAGTTCCGACATCTGCCCAGTAACAACAACATTAACTTAACAAAAAAAACACTTAGATAAAAACTAATGTAGTTCCTCAGATGAGAGAATATGGAAGAAAACAAATGAAGTACCTGATTGAAGTCGAGGATATCCGATTGGTACCTCGTATGATCACCTTTATCGCATTTGATGTCGATGGAGACGTTGTGGAAAGAGCCAATCCCGGGGACCCAAAGCTCTGTGGTGTCTGTTTCGTTGAGGAGGATCAGCCTTTTGTCTCCTTTGCAGTATTTCAGCCGGAAATCGGACGACAAATCGAAGCCTTTGCCGAGGCTGGCCAGAGCCCTCTCCACAATAGCTTCACTCATCTTGTATTTATTCCCTAATTAGTTCTTTCTCGTGCAAGATTAGGAAGAGTTTGAAGTGTTTGGAAGAGAAAAAAAATATTGTTGCTTCATGGTGTGCTATGCCTATTTGGTGTGGTTTGGTGGCAGGGATGTAGGATTTTTATTAAGTTTGACATGAGTGTGTGTGTGTGTGTGTGTGTGTTGATTGGGGTAAACTAAAACCTCTGCCTTTCACATTATTAAGTTAAGAGAAGCGGTGCGGAGGGAGGAGACCTTATTGGAGTGTTTTTTTTTCAGAGATTTGGCGAGGGTGTTTCTGACTTTACATCTGTAAGCAATCAGTCTTACGCGTTAAATGACAACCGATACTTCCATCGGACAAAAATGGAAAACAAAACTACAAGAAGTTTGGACAATTTTTTTCTAGTCATTATTAGTGTAGGCAAAAAAACAAGTCATATAGCTTTATATGTGTTGTAAATATTGATTTATGGACATTACCTAGATATAGGATTTGTAGGTATGGGTCAAGAGCCCATTAGGTCTTTAGTCATGTACATTGTATTCCCTTATATATAGGGCTCAAGTGAATGAATAAGATGAGGGTTTTGACGGCGTATCTCTTCTCTCTTTTTCTCTTTTACTACTTTCTCTCTTTGTCTATCTTGTCTATCTTATATATTGACAATCTATATTACAACACGTTATCAGCACGAGTACTCTACCATCTAAGTGAACGGCTGCGGCATCAAGACAAACAGACAATCAAGGTAACAATCAAGAATTGATGTACGCCATAGAAAAGAATTTGTCTTTTCTGTCAAGGTAACATTCAAGATCTATTCAATATCAATAATGATCTATTAGTTTCATCAATTTTACTTACATCTATTGATCTCTAAAGTGTGAATTGATGATTTTGTATGAGTTTGATTGTTGTGGTAATGGATTCATGTGTAGTTTTCTTGATATTTGTTTCAATGGATTTTGTTTATTTTTTAATTTGGTGTTTCTCGAAAGTCGGGTTCATTTGATTATTATAGATGTTCTCGAAAGTGCTGTGCATATATCTGGACCTTTTTCTTTTTATTGAGGGTCTCAAAAATTGAATTCTGATTGGGTATAGTTTGTAGAATAAACATGATTTATTTTTTCTTATAAGGTTCAAAGGATTTATTTAAATCCATAAGGTTTACTTGAATTATTTGATTTGGTTGAATTGAACTTGGTGGTGAATTATTTGCTGAAGGCAATCAAAGCATGCGCAGGTTAACATCATTTAAGTTTGGACGAGTTCTCAGTGGGTATTTCAAAATCATATATCCTTGAGGCTTGAATTTATTTATTTGTCAAATTGTTATTATGTTTGAAGATCAATTCAAAAAGCATGTTTCACTTGTGGCCCACAAATTGAACTTGTATATTGATTGCTGAATGTCTAATTGTGATGGCTTGAATTTTTGTGGGATAAATAATGATGATTTGATAAATTTACTTACATATGTCATGCGATTAATTATATGGCCCAATATTTGTATTTTTGTGAATATCAAATTCTGATGACTTGAAATATGTGGGATAAATAATGCTCATTTGATCAATATTCTTACCTCTGCCATTCGAATAATTATATGACAATGTCGTATTATATGCGCCAGTACTTTAAATTATGCA